CTCTCCCTCTCACTTTCTCGACGGATCTCTCACGAGAGCGTTCCCGCCGTTCTTACAGGTAGACTCCTCGGCGATGGAGGAGCTGCCACCTCGGCGAGGCGCGCGTGGGCTACCGCAATGCCTGAGGACTCAGGCTGGCAAGCTGCGATCTCGGCTCCGGGGGTTCCAGAGGCCAACCTTCACCTTCCCGCAACGGCAGAAGAAACCCGAAAAGACAGCGAGGTCGTCGGCCAGCGGTGGCGGCAAGTCCGACAAGTCTCGCACCGCATCAGAGAAGAGGCCCAGCCGAATGGACCGGATAAGGACGTCCATTTCCGAGAGAACAAAGTTCAGCTTACCGGATCGGCCAAAATTCAGCCTGCCCGACAGGTCCAAGTTCCACCTGCCGGAGAGACCAAAGTTCAACTTCCCGGACAAGTCTCGCTTCCGCCTGCCGGACAGATCGAAATTCACCATCAAGAAACCCAGCATCCGCCTAGCCGACGCGCTCGCGCGCGTCAAACGGCCGGCTTCTCTGCGCGAGCAACAGAAGCAACGCTCGACCGAGTCCACCGCCGGCTCCAAGCGCAACATCTTCGACTTCGCCACGTACCCTCGCATCTTCGACAAGAAGTCGAAGAAACGCGGCGAGTACGCGACATCCTCGCCGAAAGACTCGAGAGCGCAGTCCGCGGAGATCGCGACCTTCCCTCGCGCACGAAAGGGGAGGCACCTCGGCGCCAGATGGACCCGAGCCTTCGGCAACTCGTCTTCCCAGGATCGTGCAGAGGCGGCAGCGAGCGACGAGTCACCCCCGTGGCATCAAACTTCGATAGAGGAGCCTCGAGAGCCGAGGTTGTCCGCCAGAACGGAAGAGGAGATCATGGCGGCGGCTCGCGCGATCCCGTGGGAGGATACGAGAAAACGCGAGGAGCGACGTTACGACGAAGAGGAGATACAGTACATGGACTACGAGCAGGAGTCCTCGCAGGAGGTGTCGGATCGTCAGCCGCCCCCGAGGAGGTCCCACAAGGCGTCGAGGAGGAAGGAAGAATCTTACGAACACGAGGAGCCGGTGGAGGAGGATCCGAGGCTGTACGGCGACGAAGAGGCGAGGCACGTTCATCGAGACGAAGTTGAAGAAGAGGACCTGGCGGTGCAAGACGATTGGCACGCGAACCAGCAGATGATGATGCCCGAGGAGAAGTTCAGGCCGATTCCAAGGTCGCGATCGTTGGACGAGGACATGCCGCGGGCTCTGGATGAAGTGGGATACGAAGGAGCGTTCATGGCGGTGGACCCGAGGCGATTTCGACCGCGCAAGATCGCGTCCGAGGAGAAGGAAGAAGAGAAGCACGAGGAGGAATTGGAAGAGGACTTGGAAGAACACGAGCCCTCCTCGATGCAGTCGAATCTGGAACAGCAACAGTCCAGCGGCAGCTCCTGCGACCGCAGACGCCGCGGGGTCATCGAAGAGATCGATTCGGACGAATTCTTCCTGCGAGCAAGCGGCATCAGCCAGGACGACATGAATCTGGGTAGTTACCTGCCCGACGAGATACGGGACGCTCTCAGGGCGGAGATCGTCAGCGCCTTGCAGGACGAGGAGATGCCACCTACTCCGCCTCAACGTCCCATGAGAACGCGATCGTTGAGGAAACGCGAAGAGAAAGATTCCACGGAGACAGCGAAGGAAGTCGTGCCGCCGCGGCCGGCCAGGCCAAAGAGGGAACGCGGCCCCACCCGGGCTCGGCGCAGTCGAGAGGCGTCGATCGTTGGCGAGGTCTTCCGCGAGCGCACCAGGAGTGATTCCAGAAGTGACTCCAGACATCGCGTGGTGTACCAGGCGGAAGGGGCGATTCAGTCAGCGTTTGAAGAGCAGGAACCGCTGGACGATATAGTCGTGGTGAAGCCAGTGCGCAGAAAGTCCAGGTCGTCCTTGCGCAGTCACTCGCAGCCGCCGATGGAGACGTCCATATTGTCGTCCTCGATCCCCGCCATCATTGTGCCCACCATGGAATCGTCGTCGAGCCCTTTCCTGCCGATACCACCGGCAGTACCGGTGCGCAGGAAGCGTTCGCACCGAGAGACGGTGCTCGACCGGAGAAACGGCGACGTCGTGCCGATCTGCAACGGTCACCGCGAGTGGGGGATGGAAAGCGCAGCGTCCAAGAAGCCGACGACACCAGCGAGACGGTCACGATCACGACAGTCGTTGACGGAACAACAGCAACAACAGATGATCGCCGACGGCGATGTAGTCGCGCTTGCGAGTCGAGAGGACGTCGACAAACTGATCGGAGCAAGGAACGTCGCGGAACCGACACCGGTGCCTCCGAAGAGGAGATCCCGCTCAAGAACAACGTCGGTCGCCGCCGACGAGGACAGAACGTCGCACGGTGCAGAGTCCTTACCGGAGGCGGGATATATTGAGGAGGACATACCACCAGACGAGACCAGTTCGGCGCGGGATCTCTCCGGCTACGCGATCGTGGAGAAGCGAGAGAGACCACCGAGACCGCCGCCACCCAGAAGGAAACGCGACAAGTTCGCCACCTCGCCGAGACCGATCCCACCCAAGCGACCTCAGAGAGCGTACAGCACTCTAGGACCTGCTAGATCGAGGACGGACACCAGCGACACGATCACGTCGGAGACCATCACCGCCTCTACCACACCGGTGCTCTTGTCAGCCGTCGACTCCACGCCATACATCGAAATCGATTCGGATGACGTTGCGATGGAACATAGAGACGCTGCTCTTCGAGACGGTGGAGTGCTCGATAAAATCCAAGGCCGCCCGTTACCCGCTCCGCCGAGGCCACCCAGGTCGAGAAAGGAACACTTGATCGTCGAACGACCCCGCACCCCGTTCGAATTCGCGGTTGAGGAGACGACAGCGGCCACGCAGACTGATCCGCTGCCTGACGACGTGGTGATCGAAGAGGAAGTCACACAGGCGAAGCTCATAGTGACGCCCTCCAGGTCGGGTTCGCAGGTGATGGTGTCGATGGAGCGCATACCCAGTCCGTCCAGGACAGGCACGCCTCCGGTACCACCGTTGCCATTAATATCGCAAATCTTGAGGAAGGAACAGGAGGAGGAGCAGGAGAAACGAGAAGACGAAGTCGGCCGAATGGCGTACGACACGGTGTCGTTGACGTCACCTTCGCCGACGAGGGAGACTGAACGGACGAGTAGACACATGTCGGCGCCGCATTTGGAGGAGCGCAGAGAAGAAGAAGAAGAATTGCGCTCTCGAGCAATCAGGTCGGCTCTGTTTTCCGACGAGCCGTTGAGGATCAGCAGCCTCGAGGTGGGCGATCTGAAGGTCGACCGATTGAGCGTGTCGCAGATCGAGGCGCACAAGATCATGGCGTCCGAGGTGGACGCGATGGTGATCGCAACGTCGGAATTGAGAGGCGGCAGTGCTATGGAGCAGAGCTTATCGCCAGCCATCATCAGGGAGCTGATAGCCATCAGGAGTCACTTGGAAACCGTGGCGACTTCTCAGACGCAAGAGCGACACCACGAGAGCGAGAGAGAGAAAGCTGTGAGTCGCCAAGTAACCGACATTCCCACGTCAGAAGACAGCAGTCAAGCGGCGGCAAGCAGAGAACGGCGGTTTTTGCAAGAGCGCTCGCAGGGATTAGCGGAGGAGACGTCCGGCGACGAGACCGTCGAGCCAATGCGCAATGTCGAACTGCCATCCGTGGAAGATGCCGAGGAGATGCCTGAGGCTGGCGAGGACCAAAAGGTTGTTAAAACTGACGTATTAGATATCAAGGATAAAGAAGTACCACACACTCCCTCACTTGCAAGTCCAGACTCCCTTCTCTCACAGACCCTTGCGATAAATCAGTTAAAGCCAACCGCTCAAGATAAGTCATTACGAATTTTAGATTCCGAACACCTCCTTACTTTGAGCTCGCGAACCACGTCGGGCTCCCACGTGGTGGACGAATCGCGTGCCTCGTTCCCTCCGTCGTCGGACGTGCCTACGACCCGGTCCTCCGAATTGAGAGTATCGCCGGAACGCACGGCCGAACCTACAAGTAGCTCTGATCAGACTACTACTACTACTACTTCTACTAGCACTACTACTACTACTACTACTACTACTCCTACTGCTACCGCTACTGCTACCGAGTCGACCGCAACATCTATGTGTCTTCATCGCAGCGACAAGGACGATGTGTCCGATAGCAAAGAACTTCGTAAATCGAGATCTAGATCCCCCTCGCCTGCCAGAGGTATCAGGCAAACCGCGTCACCGGTCCGCTCATTGCCGCCGGTCATCTCCGTAACCCCCGATACACCCGACTCGACACCGGGGCACGGTATCTCTACGGACGCTCGACCGCAGCGTGCCGTTATTTCCTATTCTTCCGATACGCAACACGGTGCCCCGAAGTACGCCGCTCAGCCGCAGCGTGCCGTCATTTCCCATTCTTCTGATACGGGACGACCCCCACAGACTGGACAAAGGGAGTCCTCTCAATCGCCAGTACCCTCGCTTCCCTTGAGCCCAACACATTTCATCGCTTTCCCAGCCTCCGAGATTCCAGCCCAGTTCTTCTCTTTGAGTGACACACCGACGAGTCAACGCGACACCGAGGAGCCCGGTGTTATAGACACTACGCAGCAACTTCTCCGTGCTCTCCGTACGGCTGGTTTAAAAGCCATGAGGCATTTCGTCAGATATCTGGCGTCCACGCTGAGCAGCGACGACACGGTAGATAAGATCAGAGAAGTGGAACTGGCGATATGCGCCTTGTTACTTTTCATCGCAGGCTTGTTGATATATTACTTCAGTAGCGCACGAACTGTAACGTATTATCATCACTGGGATTACTTTAATCCTCCTCAGTAAACGAGGTTCACGCAATCCATACATTTGCCTATACATACTGCGTATATATATATATACCAATCCACGAATAGTTCATTGGTTTGTAGAAATTAAAAAATTTAATATTCTTGTAAATTTATTTTGTATAACAATCTCATGCTGAAGAAAATAATCGAAAAAAAAAGATACACACACACACAGACACACATACACACAGTAGTGAGAAATTGGAACGAAATTGTAGCTCTTGTACAAATATCGAAATAAAGCGAAAGACGAGTTTGTAAAAAAATATATATATATTGTATCATATATATTGTGCCAAATATACATAATTATGTAATTATGCCAAGCATGTCAGATGTATATATTTATACCGAAGTGTACAAAATGCCTGATATATAATTATTATGAGAGGATCTACTTGAGTATAAACTTGTACATTTCGCGTTCTCCACATTTCTACGGCAATAAAGTGCTATATGTTCGGGATAAATAGCAATAGTTTTTCTAACAGATATAGAATATATTCAAGCAAACATGTAATTTACATATTGTACAAAATAGCAACAGAGCCAAGATATTTGTACCTTCATTTATTGAAAGAGATCCTCTTCGTATACTTTAAGATCCCGCCTATCTTTGTGCACACTTTTTTGAGAATAATTAGCTGCAATTGGTGACCACATAGAGCTGGACATATCAGTGACTGGTTCGATTATAGGTTGTCTTCTTGCTAATGATACTTTTAACTGAATTGATGAGACCATACTGCCATCCATTTCACTGATTGCTCTTTCAGCTGCATCAGCCTTCTCAAAAGTTATAAAGCCGCGACTATAAAGATGAAAAAACAACAGAATTAATTATTATATCTGTAATTATATAAATGCTCAATTATTTGATATATCAATATAATGATTGTACATGTTGTTATTCAATGTGTGATATAAAATCATTCTATACTAACTTCTTCTCTACTTCCATCGAGATATTGATGATATTTCCAAAACTTTGGAAATGTTTCTTAAGATAATCCTCTGTTATTTTATAACCACATACAAATATTGTATTTCCTCCACGTGGCTTAATATCTGGCTTGGTTACAGATTGTGTATCAACGGTATTCTTATCATCGGTGCTTTCAGCACTGACAAAACTATCATACAAGTCTTTTACTCTTGGTCTTGCCGCTTCTGTTTCTTCTTCTTCCAACTGAGTGGCTGAAAATGGTTGATAAGAGCTAATAGTTTTTTCTGTACTGTTTAATTTCCTCTCTAATCCACGAGGCCTTTTGAAACTTTGTTCTGGCCGCTTAGGTGTTTTCGGAGCTGTAATTACACCAGATTTAATTAATTTCTTGGCAACTTCGCGTGCATCTCTCGCTTCCGTCGGTCGTTTTGGCGCTTGAGGAATACGTTCTGCTTCTTGCTTAGGAGCCTTAAGATCTTGCAGCGCTTTTTTCTGTAAACCAAAACCAAAAAAAAACAGCATGCATGAGTGTACGTGATAGTAAACTTGAAAATCAATATAAATCCAAAGATGAAATTTTAATATAATAACCTCAAATTTACACATAACCTGTAATACAGATGTAACCTTACACACCTTCCTTTTAAGTTTGTTGTATTTAAGTTGCAACATTTGCTCCTCGTCCGTGTATTTATTCGGTGGGAAATGTAAATAAACCATATTTTAAATTGAAGGAAACGAAAGGTGGCTTGAAAGTGTGAGTGCTTATTCCTTCTGCTGCTTGCCTTCCTTCGAGAAGCAGCTAGAAACTGCCAAGCAACGTCATACAGTGCCAAATAATATATTAACCACCACCAAAGTTTCCCGTCGTTTTACTGTCACGTCGTATTAATTACAAAAGTACCGACGATACTGATAAAGATAATTTGTCTATAGAATTTAAAACGTATCAGAGGAATCAAAGGAATCCACTGTGCGGCGTACGCTAGCAGCACCCTCTTAATAACATCATCGAACCAGAGAGAAACCTGAGAGCAGCCAACACGGCATTTTCTGCGCGACACTGACTTTCCGCACTGGGAAAGGATCTGCATCTATTTTGAGAGGGGAACTACAATACTACATCCACTTTCTGGCGGTTTCGGTGGTAAAATCTGCATGTGGTGGAAATCCGTGCTACATCCACTTTCTGGCGGTTTATGTCCGTGTTACAATCACAGTTCACACAGCAATCTCTATGCCAGACTTTGCTCGATGATCTGAAAAAATGGCGGGAGGACGGGAGCAGAAAAATAAAAGTATGTATTAAATATCAAATTTTCGAATACATTAACATATAAGTTCAAATTAAACATCGTGCGATACTAATAATCATTATGAAATTAAATATTATTTATATTTTAATGAACATACGCACACAAAAATATTATATAAAAAATGTTATAAAAAATGTTATGAAAAAATACGCATTACCCAATAAAATATTTTAATATATTAACATAATATTATGTTTAAATTAAATATACAGGGTGTCCGGTAATTAGCTGCCAAGCCGAAGTGTGAAGGTAAATTGGATTAAAACAAACACAAAAGTCTCGTACCATTTTCCAAAATTCGCAATAATTATCGAGTTATTAATTACAGAAATATGACGAATGAGCGCGCGCTGAGATGGATGATCGCAGAAGCGTCGCAGCCTCTCGGGTTACAACGCGTCCCAGTCAAAAAGATTTAGATACTTAACGTGGTAATACATAAATTTCACTTTTATGGAAGTCCATGAAATTAGACAGCTCTCCTTGCTCACTATCGATAGGCCGATTATTCGTTTTTGGAAGAAAAAGAAAAACATTCCAGTTTTCTGAATTAATCAATAGTCATAATAAACATGTAGCTTGAAACTTTATAGTTAATCGAGAACTTCGAAGTATTACTAATACATTGATAGTATGTTCACTGAAATCTTAATGGTCAGGTTGTTTACTCAAAGCCCAATAAATAAGTGTGTGTTCATGGCTGATTTATTATTCGATAAAGTTGGCTAACTAATATCGAGCAACTTGTTAATTAGTAAACACTAATTTACAGAGTAACAATACATTAATATTATAATTTTCTACATAGAGAGAGAAAGAAACATAGAGAGAGAGAGAGAGAGAGAGAGCAATGTAAGTGTAATACAACACATGTTTGTATATAATCATTACATTGTTGAGTACAAAACTATAACATTGATGCATTGTTACTGTTAATTAGTGTTTACTGAGCTCGAAACGATTCGCGTAATAATTATTCCGATTACAGTGTCCAAGTAATGCATTATCCTCTCCGCACATATCGATTCCGTCGTCCCAGATTATATAAATTAACTATACCCTCTTGAACAGGAATCTCTCTTGAATCAGACACGATCCTCTCTCGTTTCTCGTTTTTCTACCACGACTTGCATCCTCGTTTCGGGAAATTCTCGCGACGGAGTGAATCGACAAGGTGTGAAGGTGGCGGACGGTGGAAGATATCAAAGAGTGGTATCAAAGGTATCAAAGGATTAGACCTTGTTAACGTCGACCAGCAACTGATTACTTTAATGTGGGAGAACAGAATACTTGACACAGGGAACGGTACCGTTTTTCCACTGAATAATGTTTCACGAAACAACATCAGTTCGCATTCGTTAACGTCCTAAGTCAACAATGGAGAGGCGACACCCCGACGATCTCAAGTCTGTCGCAATTCTCATCAAGAAGGGGAGAGATGATAACGCGCAGGTAGTGCTAATTGGATCACGGCTTGTACGAGCGTCTGTCAGTCGAAACAAGATGCGTACGTACGATGCAACTTTTTGGAATCAATGGGTGCGTTCACGAAGCTCAACAGTTGCACAACAGTTGAGCACCCGATGAGTGAGCAGTAGAAATCTGAGCGCAACTGATCAGAGTTCTGTTCGATTTTGTTGGGCGGAAAAAATGTCAGATAAACGTACTAAATATTACGCCCGTCTACACGCTTATGTGTTTTGTAATTATTAAATATTTTTATAAATATAATTCATACGTGTCAGTTACAATGTATTCTACACCATCTTTGACATTCTCCGCTATATATATTTGGATTTATATGATTATTTTCTTTGTTATTTTCTTCATGGGCTACGTCATGTTGGATCGGAGACTGATCAGTAAAGGTAACGACAAATATTTATGATGAGAAAAATGGCGACCGCTCACTCAATATGTTGCGAGTGAGCGCATCGCTCAGTAGCTCTGAATGTAAGGATAACAATAAGGAAAATAATAGTCACTAATCGCTCAGTGAGCGGTTTTCTCCGCTGAACGCACCCATTGGCTCTAAAAAAAAAAACGACTGCTCGTTGAAGACGCACGCAACCTGAACGTGAGCGCATGGCTTTTACAGTGTGCAACAACAATTACGTCTGATACATTCAACCATTAAATTCTCTAAAATCTTCTCTCACCCTACTCACATACATTTTCACACGCACACACACACACTTCCACATCGCGTGAAAACCTCGCATCTTCACGCGCTCGCAGATTCTTCGATTTACGTCCTAACGTTCTTAGCTAGGGCCACTCCCTCGCTATTTTCAGATTACGTGTTGGCAGAAATGACGCAGGCATCGTACAAAATTTCGTTCATGTCGCGCCTGGATAACATGATTATGGACGAGTATATGCAAAGACAAGCGCAGGAGCGATTCGACGAAATAACAATCGCGTCAGGGTCAATGCCTAAGAGCAGTGGTGCTTGTGATGAGGTACGAGTTGACATGTCGCGACACATCGCGATGAAGACGACCTCGACTTCGAACATGTTCGCACCAGTCGCTCTCCTCTTAGGAACTTGAACGCGGTACACTCTATCAGGAGATTCTATCGGAGACCACAGAGACGTTAATCGCTACAGAATAATGACGAGGATCGCAAGTATCACGTTATACAAAACAGTCCGTTTACAAGAGCGGCGTGAGCATTTGCAGCGTCGTGAAACTCGAGTCCCGACTTGGTAAATCAATTGGTTAAACGATGACCTTATGAACAAGTGGAGAGAGAGAGAGAGAGAGAGAGTGACTATCTATAAATTTCGAGATTGCACCTGCGCTTCCGAACCTTTCGTTTCTCTTTCTTCCTTTCTTCAGATTACACAACTTTCTACGGCGACTTTTTCGTGCTTATTAAAATCTTTTACGACTAGTCGATTACGATGTTACAAAAATGTTGCAAATGCTCTAGCAGTGTTATTTTGTTCAGATATATGTACACGTCGCTACGTTATGTTATACAATATCAGTTATATTATGAGATAGTAAAATATGTCAATATTGCACTGCAAAAATGTTACTCGTATCAAAGCGAAACTCGTTCGACCGTTCAACCGAATCTTCCGATTCCGAAAGAACACGAGGATGCACATAACTTACAGAATCGATCGCGGAGTAGTCGAACGGATTGTAAAAGGGGACGTTCCGCGCTCATTTTGAAGAATTTTGCCGACTTGCTATTCATCTCGCATACGCATGGTGGTCTGACTTGAAGTTACTGTATACGCAAAAAAGTATAACAAATCACTGCTTAGCCCTATTGATAATAACGATCAGGTACTCTTCAACACTTTATATCTAAACCGTTGTTTATTAGCAGACGAGCTTGATGCGGAGAGATTGTATGTTTTGAGTAAATCTTTATCGTTCTTCATTTCATTGGGAGATTACTTGAGACCGAATAAATCTTATGTTTCTCTTCGGGACGTTAAGATTCAAATTATTATAAATTTAAAGACACTCTATAAATTAAGGCATCAAACGACAAATTTTCTTTAAAATTCATTCAATTGATTAGAAGCAATGTGAAGATATCGGTGTTTAAAGATCGTTAATAAGTCGAAAATCAAATCGTTAAAAAATCCACTTTCATACTATGTTTTGTAATAAAATTTATAAATTTGTTAATTTAATACTATCTAATACTTTCTAATACCACCTAAATTCCTATGCTTCAACCGATTCGAGATGTAGTCGCTTAAATACTTGATTTACGTCTCATAGCGTTTAACTCGTATCTCAGCAACTTCTTGCACTTTTAGATAATTCAGAGAATATTCTCGTTTGGTGAGGATTCAAGCTTTCTCTTTTTCTATAGGACTGCACTCGGAGCAACTTTAAATAAAGCACAACAGGCGTCTTGCGAAAATCAATGAGAAGACTTGCGGAAGATCGTTTAGGCAGTTTTCGCACGCATAGCAGCACGTTTTCCTGTGACAGCCTGAAAAAACACAAGAAATTCGCGTTTAGGATATTGCCGCGCTTCGACGTAAATAATCATTTCGTTTGTCATCATACATCGAGTGTTATTAATTATTGATCAATCAATAACAAATACGATCATCTTTAATGCGCTATTTCGCGTTTGAATAAGAGAATAACTTGCCTGGAAGCCAGATTTTATACTGGTGACCGAGCATCTCGACCCGCAGGTTTCGCACTGTAAAAAGAAAAGCCGAGTATCTTTTTGAAGGATGGTATCCGGCGAGCGACACGTATGACACGTGACGTATTCCTTGATATATCGCCTAAGGACATTTTCTATTTGTTTCTGTTGAAAACGACCCTTGATGATCAACTGATTGTTTCCATCTACCGAACCACTCGTTCCCAATTCGGCGAGCAAAAAGTCTAATAGATGTTTTGGTTGTCTGTGCAACGTTTTACAAATCTACAAAATAAAGAAACTTGTATAGATTGGCACTTGCCTTTCGGCTGCTGGTCTCGAGTTGGTCTTTCATGTATTTTATAATTTTGTATTTACTAATTCAATGCCATTAGTCTCGTTTCAATTCATATCGTGACACATACCTCAGTAAAATTGGCAAAGGAAGTTTTCTTCGTTCCAATGCGCACTACCTGTGGTGGACGCATGACAAATTTTTGTTTCTTACCAGCTACCATGTCAGGGTTTTTTTCTCGTAAAATAGTGAACACTCTAATCAGCAATTCCTCGTATGTATAGTCCCTGTCTGAGGCTGCCCACGAACTTGCCTCCTCCACTAAGGGAAGAATAAATATTAAATAAATGTTTACTTTTATTTAAATTGAAAAATAGAAAAAAATTTATAAAAGATATAGAAAAACAAACTTTGGAATTTTGAGAGTTTGATACTATTATTAAATATGTGAATGCTAAAATAATTGAAGAATAATCATAGTCCATGATATGTTTGTTATATGATTATCATATAATCATATTCTTGATATAATATGAAAACATTGAGCAAATACCTTACCATACTCTGCACTTCGCTCAGATTCAGTGCAGCATGTTAACAAAGATTGAATAATATAAACAACCAGATACAAAAAGTGTCAAAGTAACTATATATTTATGGTACATACAATTATCTTTCTCTTCAGTCTCTTTACGCTCTTCTTCTGCCACTAACTCATCAAGATCCTTTTTCTTTTTTTTCTTTTTCTTAGTCTTGGAGAAGTCCATGTCTAAATCTAAATCATCATCCATCGTAATTTCCTCTGTCTGTTGCTCTACAGGTTCCTGTTTGATAATCAATAGAATATATGTGAAATAGATATAAGCAGGATAAGAACAATAAAAAATATAGCAAGTACAAATACCATTTATGAGAATACATACTTTCCAGAATTGTTCCTCACCTCCTTTTTTGTGTCAGGCAAAGTTGTTTCCAATTCATCGAAATTAAACACTTTCTTCTTCTTCTTTTTCTTTTTACCAAAGTTTTCCAAATCCATTGCTCCATCATCCTCGATAGTAGTTGGCTCTGGTTCTTGATTCTCTTTATCTTCTGTCACAATATCTTCCACTATAGTATCCTCCGTTGCATCATCATTACTGCCTCCTTCATTGAAGTCTGCATCCAGATCAAAGGTGATCTTCTTTTTCTTCTTCTTTTTTTTCATGTTGTGATCAAATACCTAAAAATTTATCATAAATAGAAATAAGCAAACTATGGTACATAGTAAATCTTTCATGGAAAAACATGGTATGGGAAAATAACGGAGAAAAATTAAGATTACGAGAAGAAATTCTTTAGGGAACAATTCTGAAGAAATGATAAGGTATTTCAATCCGATTGTGCACACGTGTTTCCAAATATCCGTATTGGAGATACTTTACTGAATCTTCCTCTGTCATGTTGTTGCTTTTTGTATATTCTCTTTCCTTAGGAGAAAAAATGTCACTTTATCGCAGCGATTTGGGCGATTGAGACGGGAAATGCACGACGGGGATCCAACAATTCTCAAAATTTTCCACGATGTACACAGACCGAAACGGATTGCATCAGAAAAGCGGACCCTCACCGACCTATAAACGACAGAGAACTGGATGGCGGTAGTGTGTTAAATTCCTCCGAGAGACTTTGTGCGCATGTTTGCATATCGTCATCTCCCACGTGATTGGTTAAACAGGCTCGTGCTAAGATACATTTCTCGTATTTTACAGATTTTCTATTTTACACTTTTGAGTCTCTCTCACGTCACTCGTCATTCATTGAGTCACAAAGCACGTTGGCAATGAATCGCAACGCTCATTCGACCTTTGCCTCGTTTCCTAAACACTACCCGTTATTTTTCTCACGAGGGGTCCAACACCATACCTCTCCGTTACGTGTCTGCTGGTGGAGCAGCCATCAACAGAAGGAGAGAAAGAGGGAGAACTAGTCACCAGCAGTTACTGGCAGTTACTAGCAGGTTCTATAGTAGTGTGTATAGTCTACTGTCGACGAAAAGCGCCTTCCTCGATTCCCTCGACCTGCCTGCCTTCCAGCACCGACGATCGATACGCCGATCTAACTAGCGGCTACGCTCTAACTATGCTCGGCTCATTCCGGCCGATGTTTATGGTTGTCGTTCACGTCGGCTGACAGCTGTCAATTCCTGATTCGGGTCACCGCAGTGAGTCACCGGATCGGCAGCCGAGGGCCTCCTCTTCAGGTGATTCCTCCATCAAATTCGCTCTGGATTTTGCGTTCGCTTTCTTACCTGCGCACATTTCTCGTTTTCGTTTCTTTTGGTGCGAGTTGTGTGTGTGTGTGTGTGTGTGTGTGTGTGTGTGTGTATACGCGCGCGCGCGCGCGTGTGTAGTCTTTTTTGCTCTTCCGCACGCGAGCTCTTGTGTCTCTTCTTCATGCTCTCTTCTCGACTTTTCTTCCTTCTCCCTTTTTCTCAGACGAGTCCTGAACGGTAGCCTAAAATCTGAGCGCTAGGCTCCACTAAAACAGGACTGCCGGACGATCATCTCCACAGGTATCGCACGTCACACAACCTACCCCTTTGTTCAGATGTCCAGGTATTTTTTGTAAGGACCCATTTTTTTCTCTTTGCACACACTCGGCACACTCTTGACAGTGCTGTACGTACCGCGAGTGCGGACTCACGAGCAAGATTTTCGTGTTGCAGCGACGTCACCGGCATGGCGTCCAGCTCCGTCAGCCAGGAGGACTTTGAGAATGACTTCGAGTTGACGTCCAGGAGATCGAGGATCAGGACCGCGAGGGCCAGAGTAGGTCCACCGAGGACAGGAGATGCGTCTTCCATAAGCTTTCAAAGTACGTGTGTATAGGAGTATTTACAATTACAGTTTAGAAACTTGAAGTTTAGGAAGTTTTAATCCTAGTTTGTGCAAGTCTGAAATTTCGATACTATGAATTGTTGTAGAAACCTACAAGTTTGTAACTTTGGACCTCTAAATTGTCGGATCTATAGATTTTCAGGGTTTTATGCGCAAAATTTGAAGTGTAAATACGATAGCTTATCCGTCTCAGATAAATAAATAATTTAGTTTGGATTTAGTGAAATCATAGAACTTTGTTCCAACTAAAGTGACTGACTGACATCCTTTTGGCAACTGGAAGCTTTTCGCTAAAAATATTTGCAACCAAAGATCTTTGTCCAGAAGCAGAAACTGCCAATCATAATTCCTCAAGAACTCGAAAAGACAAATGACAATGACATGATAGCTAAATTGCAGTAGTAATTAACACCAATGATTTCTGTATGTGTGCGTTGATGACATAGAGAGCTAAGCTGTAATATACTGATAATGTTCAGATCCAGTTCAGTGATGCAAGCATTCGAGGCATTACCGACCTTGTCGCGTCCTTATCGCTAATCGCTCCTAACGCTTTGTCTTTCAGAGAGTACACCGGATGTGGAGGAGTCGCAGGGCGCTTACGACGCGAGCTCGAATCCTGTGCTTCCACCTGATCACGAAAATCCGCAGAGCAAGCCGATCATCAGGAAGCAGGATAAACGCGTGACCGGCCGGTACGTAGGTCGCGATCGCATGCGCTTGTGGAACCGATAAGAGACCATAAGAGATCTTCATTATTTATCGTGCTTGGAGTGTCCATTAGCCCACATATTTGATACACGGAACTTTACGTAATTGCCTAATACTTTCTCTGGATCTCGTTCTAGTGTCTTTAGTGTCGTATCCTGTTTGCACAGGCCAACGCACATAAACAAGGGGAAGCAGCAACGCGACCGACGGAAACTACGAGAAAAACGGCGTAGCACAGGGGTCGTGCATTTACCGTCGACAGAGGTTCGCCATTGTTACCGTCAGTCATCCCCTTTCATAAGTAACCGCGCGACGTTAGATTGCGTAGGATTGCGTAGCGCGTAACGACCGCGGCTCTTAAGATCCCGGAACTCACGGAATTTTAGGCCCCTAGAAATGCGCTTCGCGTGACTCTTAATTACGAAGAGATAACCGATATCTCTCACCCTCTTTCTCTTCAGTCGAAGAATTGCGAAAAAGGGCGGCTCGCCCTTCGATCGAAATTTCGTAAGGAAAGAGACTCCTCTCGCGGTGACGAGCGATCCGTTAGACGTGAGAAGAGCGACGACAAGTGATTACTCAGTTCTTAGACCTCAAAGGAGAATCTTCCTAGTCGGCTTTCCGATTCGCCGGTTTGTCTGTCGTCGTCGTCATTATTCGTCCTCTATCGGTATCGACGAGATTGACGGGATACTCCGATCGAGATTAAGATAGTACAAGTGATTCTCTTGAATTATAACGCTAAGACGGGCGATATATGCCGCCATTACTTATGGGATATATCTCACCCTGTTCTTTCATGTGTAAATGTTGTACAAGTGTCTCCGACATTTGGTAAAACGCATAATTCCTCAGAGCACTGGTGGTAGTACGGGCGAGGACGAGGAGGAACTTAGCGGCACTTGCCTCGAAACTAAGCACAACACGCATCACAATGAATTTCTTGATCACGAATTGATCGAAGTAAGTGCGGCCAATGCCAACTCCTTATCTTCTTACATGCGCCGCGCCGGATGTCCTGACAAGCGCGGACGCTTGTCCGTGTCGCGAGAGAAATTCGCGGAGATGGTCTGAGATCAACTCGTACGATTTGCGACAAATGTTTGCTCATTATTACCGCAACGGAACAGCATGATCGACTAGGCAAGGCTGTCGCGCGAACGATAGTCCTCGCGACGAAAGAGAAACGACACCACCCAGCCTAGCGGCTGAGCGCGTTTCAGTCTTGCACGGATCGACAAATTTCGAGCGTCTCTCTCTCTCTTTCTCTCTCTCTCTCTCTTTTTTTCTCTCTCTCCCTCTCTCTCTCTCTCTCTCTCTCTCTCTCTCCTCTTTTCTATTCTTCACTTTCTCTGCTCCTCCGGCCAGATACTCAAAGAACGCGCATGTTTCAGGAACGGACCGCTCGAATGTACACGCAGAGGCGAAACAAAAGGTATCTTGCACACACTTCGCACGTCAATTAACGATAATTGCGAAAGCGTGTCTGTGTTAATTAGCGCAGTAGCTGTCTTTGATTGTCTTTTTTAATGAACCACGACTGCTTTCTAGGCACTACCGTACTTCATACAGGTCATGTATAGTTAGGCACAGTTGGTAAGTGCGTCATTATCGTAAACAGGTGAACTACGATTAGGCACGACCTGTACGAAGTACGATAGAGCTAGTAGGATCTCGATTAACGGATCACCGGATCCGTTGCCTTATCTGAAATCCAGCGTACGTACATTCCCGTGTAACCGATAATACTGTTACAATTGTTGAGCGTTAACGCGGAGAGCACAACGGTGAGATAGCGAAGAAAGAAATTCACCCGTGAAAACGGAAGAAATCCGAACACACGAAGGACTTGTTGCGATACAAAGGATATAAATATGCGGGAGACAATCGAGTCCAATCTAGTGGAATTCAATTGGCAACAATCGTCCAGACTTTCCAATTGAATATATCATTGACTCTTTCTCTCTCTCTCTCTTTCTCTCTCTCTCTCTCTCTCTCTCTCTCTTTCTCTCTTCCGCTCTGGAGTACCTTCAATCGACCACGTCTCCCGACGTGGAGAGCAGAAGCGTCCTTTAATTACAGCGCGGCGATACGACGCGTATCCGCGCTGGAATCAAAGCGCACGGTATATCCTTTGTATCCGCATCGACGGTCGTGCCTAATGCGCAATCTGTAGACGGCGGAAATACCGAGATACTGAACGTAGGAGACTACGGAGCAGTATGCGCGTTGAGAGCGACACGTAATTACACGCGATCGTCGACCTGTGCGTTTTAGTCACTCGGATCTCGAGGCCGACGACGAGGAGTTCGATTCTCTCAATCAGTCCGACAGCATCAACCAGTCGGACCACGGTAATCACGAGCCGCCGCCGCCGCCGCAGGCATCCGTCAACGCGACCGGCAGGCCGAGATTGCCGACACCGACGGGCGACAATCCGCACGAGGTAATTGCTTCAATTGACAAATCGAGTCATCAATGAATCCCAGTAATGCGTGCGTGAGGTTTTATCAGCAAATTTATTCAAACAGATTCATCGGCTGATGACAAGCTTTTGTCACTGAACAAATTGATACATTTGTTTAGTCACCGGTGATTTCAATTCGTTCAACGAGTCCTTTTAATTGCCGACAGTCCTTAATTCATCACTAATCACTTCTTGAATGAACGAAGATGCGAGCGCGGTCGGCGGTGCCGGTTGCGTCGATGAAACGCGATTAATTAACTCCGCGACTTCCAGCTGATCGAGCGGGCGCAGGAGGAGAACAGGAGGCTGCTGTCCCTTCTGGAGGATCGGGACCACAAAATCATGGCGCTCGAGGCGCGTCTGCTGAAGCAGCAGCACGAGATGGCCGTGGAGCGCGAGCGGCTTCGCGAGGAGAACGCCACGCTGATCCGCGCAATGGCCGCATTAGCCAGCAATTGAATTCCCTCTCCCGTCGCAAGAATCACACACGCCCTATTGATTCTGCGCTCCTTACGATAATCATCGAGCAGCTAACAGGATGAGCCATAAGTCGCGCATCGCTGCGACGCGCCCGCGTCGCGCGCGCGCGCGCGCGTTCTTTTCTCTCCTCTCCTCGCGATTCTCTTCTCTTTCCTTTCTTTTTCTTTTCCTGCGTTGTATCTCGATATCGTTTCTCTCGCTCGAGTCAATTCGCGCAGCTTCGTTCGAAGCGAACGACTGAATTGTATGTTAATTATCTTTAATTGTTGTTGATACTCGTCATGCGATACGACGCGTGTATTTCTTGAGCTTTACGTTCGATGCTTGATTCTTCGTTCGAGAGCTCGCAAAGTTGCGAGGTTGCGAGCGCAAAATGTCGGCTTAACATTATTGAACGTCCCGACGTCTCTCCCGTCGTGATCTCTGTTTCTTGCGCTTTCTTCCCTAACGGGATTCTTTCCTTGCGCGAGGCGAAAATCGTAATTCGAGCATTGCCCTTCGTTTTCTCTCCGAGTCGACGAGTGTCGACCTTGTACTTCTTAGGAAATTGTTTCTATAATATTAACCGCGTAGTTTCCTTCGCAACACTTCTCCCGATTTTGCTTGACAAAGTATAAATTCGGTATAATAGTACCGAGATTCTCCTTTCGCACGTCGCATCTCGTCATTTTCGGCAAATACGTTGCAAGATAAACCCCTCTCCGTCTCCTTTCTCTTCTAACGATAACGAACGGCTGAAGACTTAATAGGATACAGACGAATTAGTTTGTAATTCGCGCGCGGGAGTCGATGAGACTTAACTTAAATAAAATTTAAGTTAAAAATAGCGCTAAGAGTCTTAGATATCTACTTGAGTAAACCAAGAGGACACCTAATCGCATCGCGGTGATGTCGAGTTTCTCGTATCGCTTCTCCCCGAGATGCATGATTTGTGGATCATCCTAGGCAATAAGAGAGACATACCTAAGTAGAGTAAAGCTAACTCTTTAGCACGTAACTCGCAGATTGAGTGTCATTAAGAGTGTGAAACGGACGATTCTCTCGGAAACCAATCACAGCCACAGCGCCGGCTTACAGGGAAAGTGACGTACGCGAGCGTATTTTCGCAAGGCTGCAAAACTGCGTAACGCCGCGAGATGCGAAGTTATATTTTATAAAAAGCAATAGAGACCATCTTGTAAAGAAAAACATCGTTCACTCGATTTCCGTTCGATCTCTCGCACTCGCTGAACTTCGGTCGCAGGCACAGGCGCGCACGTTGCTATATCGATATATTTGCGCTTTGTCTCTACTCGCTGATTAATCTCGCTATTCTTTCGTTCCTCATTCGGCAACAACACCTTCTCTCGGTGCGGTAACACAGCAGACATGCACAGATGGGCAACAAACGCAACGCAGAGATATATATGTATGTATATATTGAAAGCCTGCAGAAAAGAAAAAAAAGTGCCGATGACGACTCGAAAAAACGACTTAATCCCTTTTCTATTGTAATAATTGTAAGAATCGATGTTCTCTACGTAAGTTTTATACTTGCAACACACGGTGATGTAAGATTATGTGAATTATTTTATTATTATTATATTACTTACTAATTATTAATATTATGATGATGATGATGATTATTATTATTATTATTATTATTATACGCGAGTCGTACAAAACTCTATGTACATATAGACACGCAGATGATTCTGTAATAATTAATTCAATGCATTTCATTAGGAGACCTCCGCGGCAACTTACGTAACGCGCGGAACGATGTAACGAAAGAATGTAAAATTGTTTAAAGAAAGAACTTTTATCTCGCCAGCTACCCGGTGAGTGTATTTATTTATTGTCCTCGATACCCCTCGCACGTCCTCTCACTCGCGGGCGTGGGACCGCCCGAGTGCGATAAACCAGGCGCGCTTCTCGTGCGGCTTTTTTTCCTGCGCGAACTTATCATCGGTGCCTTAGTCATCTTCGCTCGTCGTTTACTCCAACTTGGAGTGATAAAATTCCCGGCCGCTCGCACAGCATCAAAATAGAAACCGTAATAACGAGATTGCTTCTTAGTCCTCCGATCTGGTCTACTACGCGTGACTTTTCAACGGTCTAGCTATATACTTTCCGCGCACCTGCGAGCGTATATATTTATAAAATAGAGAGAGAAAGAGAGAGAGAGAGAGAGAAAAGGACGAAGCGGTCGGTCGATGACACGCAGAGGCAGGCAGTTGTGTTCCAGTGTGAACCGGCAAAGTTTGCATTTTTATTCATAAAATAACTAAATAAATTTTTGATATAATACAATACTTGCACGCACATACGCAATATAGTTACATCTTTACGCTAATATCTCCTAATCGCTACGTAGCTGTACATTACAAATCGTTGGGATCCGATCATACAGGGGTCTCTGTTTGCACTCCGAAAATCCACTCCCCTTTTCTCTTTCTTTCGCTCAAACGTCTGCCCTCTCATTGCGCCTTTCATCCTTTCGAAATGTACTACACGATTTCTGTGAATCCTCTCCGGATTGTTTCGTATGTGTTTCGAACGCGAAATCATCGCGACTCTCGTTTCGTTAAAATAAGAGAGAAAGAAAACCACGGCGATACACACCTGGGCTTCACTTTCGAGCGCCTTTCGTAAAGTCACGAGACGTGTAATCTCTTCTCAAAACGTTGTATAAAACTTCGTTAAAATATATAGAATCGACGTCGCGCCTCAAGTGAAACCCGCTTCTTCGACTGGCTTGCGAGAGAGAGAGAGAGAGAGAGAGAGAGAGATGCTAATCTAAAAAGCGCTTCTCCTTCGGCACATCTCGAAAAGGCAAGCGACCCTTCGCATGCGTGCGTGCGTACGCGCATACGCACGCACATTGTTTAACAATCAAACGACATACGACGACGCGCGATAAATCACCGTTTGCTAGATCGCTTTGATTACCGCTCTCGAGCGAGTGCAAGCTCGCGTTATCTAATCATACAATCCTATTTTCGGGCTTCTGACACCAAGAGAGTATGTATGTATATATGTATATATATATATATATATATAAAATATATATATATAATATATATATATAATATATATATATAATATATATATAATATATATATATATATATTATAAAAGAAAATCTTTTTCAGTCCCCTCAAGAACGGACCGATAAGAGAGGAAATGACGGTATGACAAGTCGTTGAAGACAAGAATAAATCTTAATTAACCGCCTCTCACGCGATTACGCGCGCACGTTGTTATCGACTTTTGATTAACGGAATCGGCGCAATAGTTTATCGCGAGCCGTCGTATATCCCGCCCAGTGACTATCTTGCCACTGTCTCTCTCACTGCAAGATACGTACACATATTTTACGATGCAACAGGTACTACGCACACCACGCTTCTTTACCTCTATCTCGTCCCTCCTGCCCCCCTCCTCCTCCTTTACTCTCGCGCTCCTCCACTCCTTCTCGATCGTCGGCAAGGTAACTAATATCGGTTTAAGTCGTTTTAATTGTCTATTATATAACATGTGCGCCTTACTACGATTTACCTCTGTTTATCTTTTATTTTCAGTACTCCGTCGTTTTATCGCAAGGCAACGCTTTCGCTCTGATATGTACCGTTCTTTGAAATTGATCGATAATTAACCGAACTCGTCGCAAACGCGATCCCCGAGGAACTCGCTCACCCTCCCTTCCCCTCCCCTCTCTTTACTCCATGTCGCGCGTCGCGACTTCTCTCAACGATCCGCGGCTAACCCGCCGCGAAGTTATTGTCTGTCGGTGATTAGTAAGTCGTTAACGAAGGCGTCCGCGTGTGTGTATGATCTTTCGTTGGTCGTTTGAACGCAAGCGAGATCGCAGTCATATATACGCCGGCATTCATCTCACACATCTTTCACACACGCTGCAAACGGCGTCGCGACACTCACGCGAAAGCCTCACTCGCTCTCGCTCACTTTCGAGCACTCCTCTTGCGTGCTTGGTCGTGTATATATCGTCTAGGGGCGATTCGTTTGGACGGACGCGCATGGGGCACAGCACCGCGTACCGTTTCTTAATCTCGTGGAGGAAGCAAAAGTCGAGCTGACGAAGAGCGCGAGAGAAAAAGTTTTTGTCGCGTCACGGCGATCTTTCAGATCGCGAGTGACGAATCACGATTAAACTTGGAACTTGATGCGGGAAATTGGAGTTTGACTGGGAAGGCGTAAATTAAGTTTTCGAGGGATTCGGCCGATCAGACTTTACCGGACACGCGAACTTTCGAACGTGAATTTGTACTTTCCCATACGAGGGACAAAAGCGAGAAATCCCAGCGCCCCAGGCGCGTCGATCGATGTCTATCACACGCTTATCTTATCGTCTAATAATTACGATCTTACAGTTACTTCTCTTCTTCTTCGGGTTCCGTGTAAGTTACAGAGCGGCTTCGCGGCTTTCTCGTCTCGTATTCGCATCGTACGTATCATCATCCCAACAAACGACTAGATCACGATGGTTGGACCTCAACCAGATCCTTAAATGCTAGGGAGCTTAACGAACTAAACTATGTCTCCAGTGAACGATATATTAGTTTTTTTTCTTTCTTTAATCGAATATCAACCGCTTTGCAATCGAAATATTAGGCGTAAACGAGCGAACTCCTGTTCGTATTGACGCTGTCGATCGATTCGTCTCCAATGTATCAATTTTCTCTCCCCTCAGCCCTGTGTGTCTCCTTATTTCTTTCATCTTTTTCCCTCCTTTATTCGCTCTCATTACCTCTCACTCTTTAATTTACCCGAATGCCACTAATTAACGGTCGTTTCTATCTTATTTAATGAACAGTTTCTTCCTCATCCAGAGAATCACCATTAAAATAACATTCCGGTTTACGTGATCCTGATGCGCAGGGTGTCCCGAGAAAGGAAATACATTAGCAGTGCAGATACGTTCTCCGAGAAACTCGAAAGAGGATTCTCCCAATTTTTTTCTTTTTTAGAATCGCCTCTGATCAAATAATAAATTTCGAATAAAATAAAGCTCGCGTGAGATCAACAAGGGATGATCCTTCATCCGTCCGCAAAAATAAAATTCCCATTAAAAATTCTTTGAAAAAGATCCTCTGCGAAAGTGCAGTTTTTCAGCTGCGAAATTCCACCCATTAAAAAAAAAAAAAAAAGAAAAAAAAATTAATCACTTCGTTAGTCTACAGATTGGAGAATCCCATTGCGTTTCTTCCCCGAGACACCCCGTGCACATTTATTTATTTGACGGCTATCTTTCTCGTGCGGACGATTATTCTTCTAGCAAAACTTCGTGCCTGGTTCATAGGAGAAGTCAATCGAGAGGCAAGCCAGAGTTCACATTATCTTATGCGGCAGGAAGGTAGGAAGAACACAAGTTTCACACACACGCACGCGCATAAATTTGATTTTTAGTTTACTTCCGCTGGGTAGCTATACATTGTCTCCGACTGTCGCATTCGTTATCGTTAGTGCAATCGCGAGTTATCGTCCGGAACGATGTTTCAACGTGATCAGTATGACAACGGGCTTAACAATATATCGCTCGGCTAAACAGAGAACAAATTTCCACCCCTCGGTAACAATTCTTCCCTTCGAGTTTCTCTCCAGATTATAAGAGCTGCCTATAATCGATCATTCAAGCGAGCATTCTCGCCGACGTCGCGCGTCTTCCTTTTCCTTCCTCTTACGTAAACAGCACTCTACCGCTTTTGCTTGAACAAACGAGAAGCTCGCGACAACGCAGACTTGCTTCCCCGACTGACTCGACCAGACATATTTTAGGGAACACTGTGTCGTAAGTACAAGTATGTTCATCATATGTGTGTATGTGTGTATGTGTGTGGCGTGTTTGCGCGAACGTCCTCCGACACGCTGCTGTTCATTATCGAAGAGTTGAAAGAGAGAGCGCGCGCTTAAAGTTACTCTCCCGTGAGATAGACTCCTCTACCGCTTTACTCGCGCCTCTTCGCGATAGAAAAGCTCTGTCCGTAAGTCGGCACGTGACAAGCAGCTCTCTCGTCAATAAATCCTCGTCTCGTAAGAATATGGACATGTGTGTCTGTGTGTGTACTTCTCTCGTACGTCCATCCCTTCGATCTGACTGATAAGTCGCTTTGTCGGAACGGCAGTTTCATCTGATTCTCGATTGAACGGTCGCATCGTGGCGCGGGAAATCTCAAGATTTATACTGACTCCGCCAAGACGTCAAGAGGCCGACTCCACGAACCAACAATGCGCGGACGAGCGAGCCCTCGGCAACGCGCTGATTAAAATGTCGAAAAATACGAAGCTTTCCGGGATTTCGCGCGGCGGGCGATGCCGAGAGAGGGACTCTTCTCGCTTCCACTGCGGTTCGCGGAATTTTTCCCGCGGACTGACTTTACTGAACTTTCACGAAGACAGCGGACCATCCAATGCCGCGATCTACCGACTCCGTCGTCGTCGTTGTTGTCGTCATCGCGAAGAGGCGCAGGAAGATCGTTCGTCGATACTCGCGCTCAGCCTCGAGATATGTTTGCGGAACGCGCATTGACGCTGGCGCTGATCTCATTGATAACTCCCTCTTTCTCAAGAGGCATCGAGAGAAAGGAGATACGAGGAGGATCTGGTCTCAGACGCTGCAGCCGGAGGTGACCTCTTCGCTGTTGGGTTGGTGACTCCACCTGCACTGGTGGCAACCCGTCGTGGGTTCCTCCGACGCTCCGGAGCTGCCGACGCCGCCAGACGCCCTCAAACCTTGCTCCAGCTCCAGCAGCTGACCCATGAAATTGAGGTTCGGGCTGATGATCGGGCGCGCGTTCTTCACCAGTTTGTACGCTTCCACCATCGACAGGCCCTTGTGCCGCATTATGTAGGCGATGGCGATCGTTGCGCTGCGCGACACGCCGGCTTGACAGTGCACCAGAACGCTGCTACCGGCTTTCCGCGCTTCCTCTGAAGCACCAAAATGAGTTACCAGGTTGCCGGGTGTGTCGAGTGTTGAAACAGGAAGGTGAAATCGGGGTATTTATTCCAGTTCATGCGGTAAATATTTAAGAGTCAAGATAAATATTTCAATGATAAATATTTAAGTTCCCTCAAGGCTTTTCGTTGTGCAAAAAACTCGTCGAATACGTTGAAGACAATTGAGAACGCAACAAGATGGAACAAACACTGGAGAGTATTATGGAAATATTATTTCACGTTGAACGGATATTCGAGAGTACTCGGAGATTTTTGCCTGCCCGAATGACTGGAAAATTATCCAAGAGTCGCGGAGGCGGCTGTGCGTCGCATGACTATGAAAAATATAGGCGAGCTGAACTCGTAAACGCTGAAACGCTCAAGTAGCCGTGAAACCCGAACAGTCGACTTGGTTATGCAACGCATGGGGGACGCTATCGTATCGCCAATGAGTCACTGCATCGCCCGGATCTTATGCAGACTTTGCAGACGTTCTGTCGCACTGCGCGAGCTCGACTACGCTCGACAAGTGGCTGGAAATTTTTCCTCAGCATCGCGCAATCGCGTATTCGAAAAATTTAATCCTTAAAAGAAAAGAGAAAAAAGTTAACGCTTGACTGTGCGATATTTGTGACTCATTGACGATTATCGCAATGAAAAATGTGAAAAATGCATAATAAACGTTAAGCTCGTCGTGAATATGAGGAGAAACTGAGACTCCGGTGATTCCTTCACGAAATTCTCCTCGAGCACGTCATTTGCAAGACAAAGTGTATTGCGATCAAAGAATTGTACTTTAGGAATTGTAATTCAACTACAAGAGGGAAACGAACAAAAGAACAAGCGTCTACACAAGCCCGAGCGGCCGGACAACAATTACGTCCGATAACAAAAACGCACACCTCGTCGACCATCAGAGGTCGGACGAGTTACGAGCGAGCGAGAATTAATTTGTCAAAAATCAGCCCCGGGCTAAAATCGGCCGCGGGAACGAGGGTGCCGCTGGTCGGTTTGTTCAACGGCATTCCACCAGTTGCACGTAGCACGGGGGGGGGCAACGGCGGTAGCAGCAGCAGCAGCAGCAGCAGCAGCAGCAGCAGCAGGCATACCTCTCCCTTTCTTCCCTCTCGTTCTTGTCGTCCCTTTTCCAGCCCTTACATTCGCCACGCATGACTGCCCCTCCCCCCTCCTGCGCTTCTGTGCCCCCCTGTGTGCTTTCCCTCCACGCACAATAACCCCCCTCCGTGCAGATGCGCGCACGCATAAACAGCGTGTAAACGTGAGAGGAGAAACGACGCAAAAGAAGAGGACGGCAAGGGGAGGGGGAGGGGGCCAGAGAGTAGAGCACAGACACAGGGGTGAAGGGGGAGGCCTCTTACGTTTCACGGATGCACGCGCGCGCGCATGACTCATGCTTTCATGAATGGAAGGTTCTCTCTTCTGGTCTTCTGGCTCCCGTGCGAGCGAGCGAGCAAGCGTGCGCGCCAGTAGCGAGAGCAGCCGTGCTCTGGTTCAATGGTCCACCGGAAACGCCTGGTTACACCCTGTTTCCGTTTCAACCGAATTTGCCGCGTAACGGAACAAACGGGACGACCGGAAGAAGAAGCAGAGAAGAAGAACGAGCCAGCAGGAAATCTGCTGCCGCGGCGGTGCGGGCAATCGCGGAAATCACCGCCGCTTAACTGATGAACTCGCGCGTGCATCGGCAATCTGCGACATCGAGGAGGATATTACCGGATGTGTGAAGGATCAGCCAGACAGGCAATCAGCGCGACGGTGCGCGTCGGAAGCGCGTCGTGCGCTTCCCAGAGACACCGAGAGATCAAGAAGATCGAGAGATCCTCGTGGAGGTTCTGCATCGACTTTGAAAAAGAGAAACGCCAGTTGAAGGTCCTCTCGTTGTCAAATAGGATCCAAGACAGGTCGAGAATATTGCGAAGGTTGCTTATTCGTGAGGCTCAGGGTTGTTACAGGATATTTACAAGCTCTCATCGACCGTGTTAACTGGTCCTCTTTCTTTCCGCCAAAAGTCGCCACTCACCGATGAAATCGAACGCTTCCTCGAAGTACTGCTTCAAGTTCTGGTGGCTGGAGTCTGAGGCCGGTATCTGCCTGTACGTGATACCCCGTTCCTCGTGGTAGCCGGGCAGCTGCGAGGTGACGTTCAGCACCCGGGTGGCGCCGAGCGCGCGCAGTAGCTGCAGGTCGGCGGCATCCCTGCCGTTGCCGAGGTAGAGGAAAGGCAGCACACGGGACGCCGGATGACTGTCGATGTCGGCGGGCTGCGGTGTGGGTAAGACGGAGACGCTTAGCACGGGACAACCAAGCCCGGGACTCGTGCAGCCGCTCACCGTCGTCGCCGAAGGATCGCCGCCACCGCCGCCGCCGCCGCCACCTCCGACACCGTTGCTACCGCCGCTCGGTAAGAGCGTGTCCTCGCATAGTTCCCGGTGTCGCCTGTGGAACTCGCGGTGTCCACCTGAAACGAGCGAATCATTAGTGATTTGTAAAAAAGACTATAATCTTTTTTTCTTACAAAATCAGCGGCTGCTTATTAATTAATTATCTAGCGATCAATGTCATTGAATTAATAGTAATAACTCTCACGTCGCGACAGCAATTAATATAATTTAAGCCCAATTTCAATTATTAATTAATAACTACTGATATTAATAGAAGTTCGTGTAATTCTGGTCTTAATTTCACTTAATATTTCCCGGAAACGATAATCGGTCATTTTTTCTATAACCAACGTGTCGAGATGAAATCGAGGAAATGATTATAAAAGAAGATCGACAATGGTAAGCCATCTAATTGTTTCGCTCTAAGTGACGATAAATAGACGGCGTATACATGGGAAAAATATCAAACTATCGTCACGAAGTTGGAAAATTCGTGAGAATTGCTTCTCACCGAGAAGTTTTTCCTCATTCGTAGGTCACTCACGTGCGAAAATTAATGTGAATGAAGCCACATGCACTTTTTTCCAACATACGGCATAAGCACAACGTATTGCTGAACAATGATCGCCTTTTATATCCGCTAGAGTCGTACTCGATGGTACTTTTCTCCCGTTGAGACAACTTATTGATTGACACAGGTGTATATACGTCCCGTATATTTCAAAATAATTACAACTGACACGACAACCTCGTTCTGTATTTGCGGACCCTTCGTGGATAGTAAATTAGAGTTGCACATCATCATTCATATATAACTTCCGCACGAGCATACGTAAGATTCTAAAATTGCAAGAAGCCACGAACAGCTGAAAAATGAGGCGGCTGTCCGACAATCCGAAGATGTTATCATTCACAGATCCAGATACATGAAACCTCAAAAATACAACGTGGAGCTAGGTAGAAGAGCCTCCGAGGATTCAAAAGCTGGGATTTGCCCTCCGGGCAAATTCCACGAGTGCAAGAAACAAGAAGACTTCAGTACAGGGATTTGCGAAACTGCCAAACTCTCGTGACCTCGAAGGACTTGGGACGTACAGTGTCGCAGGTGTGAAGGACTCGACGAGGATGAAGGAGAGGGTTGATGCCGTCATCGTCTGGAGCGGACGCGGATGCGGACGAGGACGGGGTAACGCAGTGGTAAGCGCGAAAAACGGGTGGAAAGGAAGAAACGAGACGAGAATAAACGGCGGGCGATAAAAATAAAGAAACGCCAAGCGAGAAGAAGAGAGAAGGCAAGGAAGAAATGTGGGCTAAAATTGTCTTCCTCTCCTGACCTGCGGCTGCTAAGGCCTGGCCTGGCTGAACGATGACTCACTCGTTATCCCCCCTCACCCACCCGCTCTCCCCAACGGTTGGCTATCGCGGTGCGGCCACCAACCCCAAACTGTCGTCGCCAATCATTATTCCAACGCTGGCGAGGCTCCTTTTCCGATTTCACGACTTTAGACCGAGATGACGACGTCGGCGACGGTGACGCGTCGTGAACAATACCCAGTCAAATAAAACCCTCTTCCGCGGGTTTTGTTCCTTTTTCCCCCCTCCAAGTGGCAGCAAAGCTCGCGTCGCATCCGCGAGAAACGTCGGCGAACATTCCTTCGCGGTCCCGTGAGACTTGGAATCGAGATCGCGATGGCGTACGTGCAATATTGATAGCGAGGCTATTGCGCTTTGCGCGTGTTGTGAAATAATCATCTGAAAAAGCACGCTCAGATATAGTTTCCACATGCTCTAGGACTTTAGACCGCCCCGGCGCTATGCATCATTAACGTCGTGTATTCTTGGTATTTACAGTATTCTTGGTATTTCACAACTTCCGTCCCTTGTAGGAGCGGTGTGTTGCTAATTCTCATCTGTTTCGATTCTGAACTCCGATCCGGGGGCACTTTGGTGTCACAAGGTGGACCATTGTTTTCGTTCCACGTGTATTATACTCTAGACCAGATCGTAGTCTCTATCCTAAACAATTGCTCCGCGCGCAAGTGTGGGAATTAGAAACTCGCGACAAACACCTAGACGTGAAAGCATCTTGTGCGAGTTCATGCATTCTGCTTTTCTCAAGTATGAATTTGGTGATTTATCGATCCCCGACAACGTGAGTCTAATTTATCAAATAACTGCATTCGACGGGACAAGTAAGATTCAAAATTGTTGTCATACGGATATAACAAAAATAAAATCCTTGAATTTCCTCAGCAGATACGCGGCTATTGAAGTGAGAAACTTGCGGGTAAAATGGAACTCGCTCTAGAAACAAGGATCAACACTCGCAAGAACGGACGTTGCGAGAGTCGCATGTTCGTTACGGAAAAGTCTAGATGTGGGTCACACTATTTAGGTCGGTGTAGCGATCGAGACGATGTACGTGGCGATCGCGTAAAGGTCGTCGTACCCGATGAAAATCCTGTTACTCAAGCACCACATCCCTAAGTGAGAATTCCGAGTAAAATAAAAAAATACGCGAATTCAGCCTATTTCAGCTATCGTGGAGTGCAAGTTCTTGCGCTGGTACGTACGCAAGGACCCTTATATTTAGAATCCTATCGAGGAAGAGGACATGGGACACACCTGTGGCACAGAGGATTCTCACGAAAACGAAAAGGATTTTTGCAAGGACAATTTTTGACGTCGGATACTGTGCGATTTGTCATGCAACTTCCCTTGAGGAAAACCGACCTGCAATTTGTCGGAGATAACGAGTCGTCGAAAGGAAATGCGATAGTTCCGCATGGTGTGTAAGGATTTTGTCGAAAGTACGGAGGATTACAGCAGACAGGTATAAAAGTATCGAGTCCTTCGTGCAGATTTTTGAAGGTGCCGACCTATATTTTTTAAAACGTCCCGAAAAACCGAAATTCGGAAGGATCATAGAGCCTATTTCTTACGTGAATTCAAGTTACTCGGACGTACAATTCAGATGTAATCTATAATTTTCAAACAAGAGAAATATGTAAACACTCGACGAAATTCGGGATGCAAATTTCGCCGAGGAATAGTTAGATAAACGTTACGCAAGTGATGGAATAGTTTCAGAGATACACCATAGATCATGACGTCCTACACATCCTGTCCCTACAAGCTTCACCGAATCTTTCATCTCAAATACAAAATACCACCCACATTCTTCCAGAGGTCAGACCTGACGTCATCGAACGTCAGCGATGAATCAGGAATATGATGCCAAAATAGTTAACGACATTCGGAGCAACAAGTGGACAAAACAAATTGGATAGGAGGAAAATAATGAGTTATCGAAATGTTGATAAATCAATAACGATGAGTCAATCCCACAAATCCATTCGCCAGTGACTCATTTTGTCTCCTTATTTTCATATACACCAACTTCAGTGAAAAACTTCCCCGTTGCGAGAGACACTATCGCGCAGACTATACGCGCGCCCGAGTATCATAAAAGCTGAAATAGCATCAAAAGAAATGATCGAAAAACAGCGAAAATGCTGTCGAAACAAAAGGGACCAATCGATCTTACCCCAGGAATCGAGATTCTCAAACGGTACCAGCCGCAATACAAGGCAAGGCGCGTCCTTTCTGATCCTCATTGCTAATCAACACTGTGTCAGCGTGTCTCACCTCACCATTTGACACAAAATTCAAAACAAATTGTCCTTGCGCCAGGAGCACGCGCGAATATAGTTCAATGCTTGGTCGGTTTTCACTTGTCCTGTACCCGCTACAAGATCATAATCCTGCAACGATTGGCGGGATACTGCGGGCTGAACGGCACGAGAGAGTTTACATGAGGCCTGGCCGGGATGAGTCATCGCATGGTGCGCTGATTGGCCGGCTGCCGCCGTCGCCGTCGTGACGTTCGTGAATCGTTGGCCGACCGTTTCCGAGCGTACTCGACAAGACGCGAGCGCGTACAATTCTTTGCGCGGGCCACGGCCGGCGATGCAGCTAGTTAGTTCTTTCATATATGGATATACCGGGTGCCCTGTCAAAGGGTATACACACCGAGGTCGTTCGCTCAGAGGTCCAATGAGAGCTTATCTAAACGTTTGGTCGAACTTTGTCAGAGTTATATAGTCTCTCTTCTATCGCTGAAAATTATTAGCATTATTATCGAGACAATTTCATACAGGGGAGAGATGACATAAGATCTTGCCGCGAGAGAGGAAAATAAAATTACTTCAAATATAGCAATTCAATTATCACCATGAAGCATTACCATTCACCATGAGAGACTTTTATCGACCAGCTTTTGGATTTGTTATAAACAACTACTGCTGCAAATTAGCCAAATAATAAACTTTTGACTTATTCTCACTACCGGATTTCCATACTCAAGTAATGGAATCACCTTCCCGATTGAATCAGATCGAATTAAGCTCCAGCGGATTCAGACTCCAGGAATGAATGATCTAAAGACTTCTAAATATCGAAGGATCTACGCATGGAAATTCCTTCGATGCCAATGACTAATCAGTTAGAGCGAAACGTTTATTATGCCTACGACGGAACGTCGTAAGCTCTGTTCCTCTTTTTTCTCTCTTCAATTTCAAGGTCTTTCGCGGCGCTAGATCGCGATCACCGCGATCAAGGATCCTTAGGATCGCGTCATTGCGTACGCGAACAACGTCGCGCGGCGGCTCCAGCGCGGAATTCGTAAACTGTTCCGCATGCACATTTCGAACAAATGACACACGGTGTATATTTAGATTCTCTTGGATCTCGAAGTTTACGTATCTCCTGACATTCTTTCCCAGTTACACACTCGATCGACGATCCTTTCCTATGTCGAGGAGGTAATGCACTTTTAATCAGTCACGTTGAGCTTCTCGACATTCGTCACGTTAGGATTTCCTAAGCTTTCTCTCTTTGTCTCTCTCATGTTTGCAGTCTTGGGCCTTCAGGTTGTTGCATTTTCCATAAACCTTTGGGACACTTTCTCTCGCTGCGAGCATTTCCTCGCTTCAAGATTCTTCGGATACTTCTACAACTGAATGTCTCAAACGACTCGAGAGAAACTGAAAAGAATGCGAAATTATCAATAAACTGT